TATAATGAACAACATAAACTGATGAACAAGGACTGATCCAGAGACGGAGAGGCATTGATTGGACTGTCGGGCCTTGGAGGGAAGGTAGGGGAGGGTGGGGGTAAGGCGAAAAGAGCAACCAAAGGACTTATATGCAAGCACATAGGCCTAACCAATGGACACAGACAACAGGGGGGTGAGGGCATGAGGTGGGGGGTAGGGGGTAACTTGGGGATAAGGACACATATGTAATATCTTAATCAATAAAAAATATATTTTTAAAAAAACATGCATCTTTATCTGTGGCATGCATCTATACCTTTTTCACATCACATAGAGAAGGAAACAAAACTGCTGAAAACCCTGGGTACAATCACACACAATGAACTGCAGAGAAACATGCTGTAACAAAGGAGACTCACGATTTCCATTGACAACGATTCCCTCTCTGAGAGTCTTGGTTTTTGCATCTGTGAAGATATAGTTACATGCATCTTTATCTGTGGCATGCATCTATACCTTTTTCACATCACATAGAGAAGGAAACAAAACTGCTGAAAACCCTGGGTACAATCACACACAATGAACTGCAGAGAAACATGCTGTAACAAAGGAGACTCACGATTTCCATTGACAACGATTCCCTCTCTGAGAGTCTTGGTTTTTGCATCTGTGAAGATATAGTTACAGAAATTTTTGAATTTCTCCTTGAAACTGCACTCTAGTTGGTTTTCTGACACCCCATCCATACGGTGTAATAATTTTTTGTCAGTTGTAGGCCGGTCAAAGGTAAAGCACTTTCGCTATGGAATGAACTCCCTGATATACTCTCTAGGGATGTTGGCTTGCTGGATTTTGGGGTCTTCCCCTGTAGAGAAGAAAAAAGAGCAGTGATTGGCGAGACAGTCTTCAGAAAAGGACGCTCATTTCCATGGTGCTTGCATATCTCCTATTTAATCATCAAATCAATAATGATAATCTTCCCAAAACATAGATTTGTGTGTGTGTGTGTGTGTGTGTGTGTGTGTGTTTGTGTTTGTGTCCAGACCAGGAGTAAAAGAAGTACTTCTGAGGAAGAAGAGGAAGTAGTTATTCCATCTGAAGAAACTTATGATTGTTTTTCTTAGTCTTTCCATGATTTCCAATGGCTTGACTATTTATTAGATATTTTTGAATGATACTTTAATCCCCACAATTGTCAGAAATACTTTTGAAATTATAGTCCTCATATCAGAAATATAATATGGGCTCTAAAGTACAAGTCAAATATTTATTAATAGATATATAGAAATTTATGATATTGCTAGGAAAAATATGATGAGGACAGACAATAATAAGAACAATTTATAAAAATCAGAGTAAAAAATACACACAACTGGGGTGGGACTTGGGTGGGGAGAGATTAACCAGGGAACTTATATGCATAAATATATAGCCCATGGACACAGACAATTGAGTGGTGAAGGCAATAAAAGGGTGATGTGGGGTGGAGGGGGTCAATGGAAAAACAAACAAACAAATAAAAACCAAAAACAAATGAGACATCTGTAATACTTTAAACAATAAAATCTCATTTTCCTCTTGGCTAAATATGTTCTGTATAATGAATGTATTATATGAACATGATAATAGGCTATGGCAGTGGTCGGCAAACTGCGGCTCGTAAGCCACAATTAGAAAAACCAAAGCAGGAATTCCTAACTTGGTATCGACAGATAAAATTATGCGCTCCATAAACTCCATTATGAGAAAGAGAGAGAGAGAGAGAGAGAGAGAGAGAGAGAGAGAGAGAGAGAGAGAATGAGTGTGCATAACAAATTTGCTTGGGGAGAATTTATATGGTTTTTAAGGGAATCTTTGATCATATAAATATTCAGAATATCTGCAATAAATGGATTTGAATGGGGAAAAATAAAATATATATATGTTCAGAGATGTTTTAGCAGATAACATTGACAAGTAAGGTTAACCTAATGTCACTTTGAGACTTCACCTCTTCTCTATATCAGATTATATTAGACATGACAATGCCACACAGAGTAATTCTGGGCTTATATCAGCTGTTCAATAAATGATTTTAGAATGAATAAATAAATGATTAAATTAGCAAAAATGGACATGCTTCTAGGTACCTCTCATTTTCCTCTTGGCTAAATATGTTCTGTATAATGAATGTATTATATGAACATGATAATAGGCTATGGCAGTGGTCGGCAAACTGCGGCTCGTAAGCCACATGTGGCTCTTTGGCCCCTTGAGTGTGGCTCTGCCACAAAATACCACGTGCGGGCGCGCACATACAGTGCGATTGAAACTTAGTGGCCCATGCGCAGAAGTCGGTTTTCAACCTGGGCGAGTCTACTTTGAAGAAGTGGTGTTAGAAGAAGGGGGGGGTGTTGGTCGGGTGATGGGAGATGCAGCGTAGGCGGGCCGCGGGATACGCATAACCGGTTTTTCAGTGGATAGAGTGTCGGCCTGCGGACTGAAAGGTCCCAGGTTCAATTCCGGTCAAGGGCATGTACCTGAGTTGCAGGCACATCCCCAGTGGGGGGCGTGCAGGAGGCAGCTGATCGATGTTTCTCTCTCATCGATGTTTCTAACTCTCTATCTCTCTCCCTTCCTCTCTGTAAAAAATCAATAAAATATATTAAAAAAAACAATCTTAAAAAAAAAAGAGAGTGATGCTATAACAATGAGATAATGAAGGATTTGACAGTCTTACTGGAAGGATATGTTAAATTTTTTGGGAAAAATTATATATATATACATATGATGTAACTATGCAGGCTATTAAAAGAGACTACATAAGATATATTTAAAAAACGAAGTCATTTGGTAACTTTGTGATTCTGTGTTAACCATCATCCTTAGTGATGGGCATTTTTCTATAAATAGTAGCAGAGGAGCACTAAACTTAATCGGAAACACAAGTATTTGAGCCTAGGAAGTCTTAGCATTGGTTGTTATCTTCAAAATTTTTTCATGGTGTCAAATTTCCTAAAATCTTTGGTCTAATGTGGCTTCTCCTTTCCTTAGCCAGCTTAAATCTTGATCACTGGACTATTTTTAGTAATAATAACAATTAAAACCATACCCATCTGTCATACCCATGACACCATTAGCACGGGCTTCACTGCAATAAAAAAAATAAAGATTATATTGACCTTAAGTGCTGAATGACAGGACTCAGTTAATCCCACATCCTACTGAACCCTCTACCACCTAGATCATCCTCTGGTACCTGGAACCAACTTCAAGGCATTCTCCAGGTACTCATCTTCAGTGATGGTCCTTCCATCTAACTCCAGCTCCAGCATGAAATCCTGGACAACCCAAACAAAGTCTGGAAAGAAACTTGCAAACTCGGCTGAGTCACCTCCTTCACCAGAGCTGGGAGATGACTTTGTCCTGATTAGCTTTGTTAGTTCAGTCACATAGCTGGGATCTTAGCTAAGGAATGAGAAGTGCACCATGCCAAAATTTCTAGATCTCACCCTGAAATCATTTTTATTAACATTCCCATTCACACTGTGTCCCTTTTCCCTCAATCATGAATATGAATATGAGGGAAAACCACAACAAAAGAGTGTCAGCTACACCCATAGCCTCCATGACACATGGAGGTTTGGTTCCTGGAAGGATACTGCAGCTGCTTCAGGGCCTGGTGGTTGATGGTGCTCATGCTGTTGTAGACAAACATGCTGCTCAGAAGCACGGCCAGGGCAAAGATCCATGAGTCATTTTTTGAATCGCCCTAGAAAGTGCATTACAGCAGGGCATCGGGCATCTACTCTTCAATCACCCATTCAGTTGTTCATGCACTATGTCAACTCTACTATAACTGAATAGTAGGGCAAATAACATACACTGTGTTGATAGTGCTAAATTTAAAACTCATTTTTGGGTTTTGACATTGACTCCTCTCAAGGTCTGAGTTTTTTAGCAATTAAGAGAAGTGAATGACAATGTAAATGTGTGTCAAATGTTTAAAACAATTCCAAAAACATAGAAGTATGCAATGATAAGTGGGTAATGATTTCTTTGGAACTTTCTCTTGACCATGAGCTTATTGGTGACACAAATGCTAGTCAATTAAATTCACTGACTTCTCATTGTGCATCTAAAAAATGCCAGATACCACATTTAGTTTTGTGGATATAAAGTTTCATAGGGAAATCTCTTGAGATGATTTCCTGAGGTGCAAATATACATGGCAACATGTAAATGCCTCCAAGGTGATCAAATCGCCCTAGAAAGTGCATTACAGCAGGGCATCGGGCATCTACTCTTCAATCACCCATTCAGTTGTTCATGCACTATGTCAACTCTACTATAACTGAATAGTAGGGCAAATAACATACACTGTGTTGATAGTGCTAAATTTAAAACTCATTTTTGGGTTTTGACATTGACTCCTCTCAAGGTCTGAGTTTTTTAGCAATTAAGAGAAGTGAATGACAATGTAAATGTGTGTCAAATGTTTAAAACAATTCCAAAAACATAGAAGTATGCAATGATAAGTGGGTAATGATTTCTTTGGAACTTTCTCTTGACCATGAGCTTATTGGTGACACAAATGCTAGTCAATTAAATTCACTGACTTCTCATTGTGCATCTAAAAAATGCCAGATACCACATTTAGTTTTGTGGATATAAAGTTTCATAGGGAAATCTCTTGAGATGATTTCCTGAGGTGCAAATATACATGGCAACATGTAAATGCCTCCAAGGTGATCAGCTCTGCCAGGAGTGCAACCCAATGTTATAACATAAAAGACAAAGGGGGAATGCAAAACCCAGAAAACTTACTCTGTGATTTCAGGGCAAGAAGGGATTATGTCTGAATGAGATACAATCCTATTATGTTGAAAGTAGCTGGGCTTTAACCCCTTCCCCAACAATTTTTTTGTTAAAAATGTTTCTTTTTCAGACTAATTTTTTTATTTTGGTTCTATATAGTATTTTTGATGCTGGTTATGAAAACAGTTTGTAACTCATCTTCCTATAAACCATATTTTTTTTACCATATTTTCTTAGTATACTCGTCGACGACTGAAAAAGAACATTTTGTGAAAACGAGTATACACGTTTCTGCCGGGGAAGGGGTTAAAGAAGGTGAAGATTGTGCAACTGTGGAAAGAAAGAGGCCATGTAGATGGAAGGATCTAGAGAAGCCAATCAGAATAGTCAGAAAGTGTATTCAAACAAAGGTATAACATGTTATTTTATTTGATTGAAGTATTGGCTATGTGTGTGGTAGGAATAGATGATGAGTCTGAACATAACATTCAGGGTAAACCATGAATGATGTTTCAATAGAATTAGATACTGCTAAAAACACCAGAGTTGCAAGTACTTTGTCTTCTATCAGATGGCAATTAGTTATGCTTTGGCTCCTTTACAAATGTAATTAGCTAAAAGAAGAAGGTTTATGTAAACTATAATATGTTAGCAATCCGCATATCACCTTGGGTTTATATTGAGGTGACTACTGCCTACTTTAAACTTGAATTATGCTAATAAGCCAATCAGAGAAAGACAAGTACCGTGTGATTTCATTCATATGTGAAATCTAATGAAAAAAAAATGAACTAACAATCAAAATAGAAACAGATTGCTTGGCTGATGTTGCTCAGTGGTTGAGCATTCACATAGGAAGGAAGAGGTCACTGATTTGATTCCTGGTCAGGGCACATGTCCCCTAGTAGGGAGCATGCAGGAGGCAGCCAGTCTATGAAGTTTCTCTTTAATCCATGTTTCATTCTCTCAATCCTTCTCCTTTACTCTCGCTCTAAAAACCAATAAAAAACATATAAAAATAGAGATAGACACATAAATAGAGAGGAGACTGACAGGAGTGTGTGTGTGCGTGTGTGCGTGTGTGTGTGTGTGTGGAGGGAGTATTGAACAAAATGAGGGTATTGAGCAAAAAAGAAAAAAAAAGAGAGAAATAACTCATGGACAGGGCAACAGTGTTGTGATTGGCAGTGTAGCGGGGTGAGAGAAGTTGGAGGATCGTACAGGGGGAATAAATGGTGATGGACAGAGACTTGACTTGGAGTGGTAAACTCACAAATAGTACACAGATAATATTCTATAGAATTGTGCATCTGAAACCTGTATAATTTGGATTATACAGTGTCACTTCAATAAATTCAATAAAACATTCATATTAAAATTCAGAATACTTAATTCTTGCCCCCTCTTTTTGCAGTAATGGAAGCCAAAGACCACTGTGCTACTATCACTTAAGACTCTGGCTAATACAAATAAGAACGCAAGAATGACTGCAAATAACACAGCAAAGACAAAATACATAAAAGTATCCCATTTATGTATATTTTTGGTGGATCTAGCTCATGAATTTATAGACGTCAGGGAGGAATTCATCTCTAAAGCCCAGAGACTTGGACTAAAACTTTAATTAATGTGTCTGGGGTAGCTGAAGTGTTTTTTTTAATATTTTTTAAATATGTTATTCTACTAAAATGCCATTTTTATGTTTCCTACCTTCAAGCCCATCATCACACACACTTTAACTGGTAGAGTACATTGATCCCATAATTATAGCTTCCTCCTGGATATTTTTTGTATCCTGAAGACTGGTTAAATATCTCACTCCTTGTATCCATGGTACCTGGTACTGATAACACTGCATATTTCTTATCTCCCAACGAGGCTCTGGGCCTTTTCCTCAATCATGCATATCTACAGTGGTTAACACAAAACCATAGAATTTAGATGCCTAATAAGTGTGTTTGTTATCTTGTACCTTTTAACCAACTATAAAAATCAGAATATCTATACCTACTAAGGAAAGTATTGAGTTTCCATGAAAGTAAATTGAAGGAAACAAAATTTAAGCTCATTATTCTTGATTGAATTTGCAGTTTATAGAAATAGGTCATGAAAGTTGAATTAAGGTAGCAAATTAAAATGAAAGTGGATTATCAAGACAAAGAAGACTCTTTACCTTACCTTTTCCACATCACCCAGGCCCTCAATGACCAGAAAGACCAGAGTGTGGTTGGGCTTCGAGGGGTGTGGTACACACCACATCCAGATGCCCTTGGTTTCAGATGGCACTGTGGAACACAGACAGAATCCTACAAAGTTAGAGGAGAAAGTGCTATACAGTAAGAGCAGATAGTCCAGGCTGCCCATAGGTTACATTAGTTAAAGTTATCAGAATGTGAGTGCAAGGCTGGGAGGAAGGTTGCTTTCATTTCAGCAAGGACAGCCTATCCAACCTTTACACATGTTAAGAAACACTTCTCAAGAAACATTCTGTGCTCCCTATTCACTTTAAATTATCAATGGTCCAAGTTATGTCACATTTCAGAATTACTGTAACCTCTATTGACCTTTATATTTTTTTCTGACATTGACGAGCTCCCTTGTCCTTCAGGCTCTGGTGGAGTTCCACCAGTGGGAGGTGCCAGCATGAGACTAGTGGTCAGGAATATGGTCCACTCACTTCCCCTTGATGAGACACCCTGTCCCAGTGCCTCAGTTCCTCTCAGTGGGTCACAGCCCTTTCATTTAGCTCCATTCAAAAGTGCTGGTCTTTGCCACATTCCGGTTTCCTTTTTGCTTGTCTGTTCAGGCTATAGGAGTGACTATAGTTCCCTGGCCATTACTATTGCCACTCTCTGGGTGCTTCCTCATCTCTAATTAGTTCTCTGTGCCCTGCTTATGACCTTGTGTGTGTCCCTCTAATAAGCATGCTTTAGTTACCCCTTAAGAGGTTCTTGTGTTTCCTGCCAGGACCTAGATTGATGATTAGCTTTGTTGGATTTCCCTTCCCTTTTATTCCTGTATTTTTCTCATTTCTTTTCTCCTTTTCAAGGAAATGATGAGTTTTGGTTCCACCCTACCCCCCTTACTCAGGTGGGGATATAATGGAAGTGAAGGCAGAAAATACCTGTGAAAGGTGCTAGCTCCTCTTTCAAAAGGCTTAAACCAATAGGTGGAGAGCATGCGATTGCTATAACGAAGAACCTGTGCCTGATATATCTTGTTCAACAGTTTAACATTTTTAACATCTGCCATAGGCCAATGTTTCCTCCAATGGGGCCTAGAAACAGACATGATGGAATGTGTAAGGGAGGTTGCTTCAGCTTGGCTCAGGCCATTCAATTTCCACATCCAGTGAGTTCTCCATAGAGAGGGTGTAAAGCCCGAGATGGTTTGCATTCTCCTACATTGGGGTAGTATTTGATTGTTTCTTAGTAATACAGTGTAATCTAAACTCCCAGTTCTCCCAGTGGGAAAAGGTAGGTGTAAACTGAATATCATCACTCTCAGTTATGAGAGGTAAAAATTCACAAAGAAAGTTATCAACAAGGGGAGTGAATAGTGACCTAGTCTTGCTTCTGGACTTTGACTGGGCACAAATCATTTTGTTTTGTTTTTCTTTGTTTTGTTCTTTCTGTTCTATGAGTGGGTGGTAGAGTTACAATTAAGATGTTGTTGTTTTTCCGTTTACAGTTTACTTTCAACATTATGTTGTATTAGATTCAATTGTACAGTATAGTGGTTAGACAGCCATATGCTTTGCATAGTGTTCTCACTGATATTACAAGGACCCATTTGGCATTATACATAATTATTACAATATTATGGACTATACCTAGGTGAGTTAAAATATTTTGGTGATTGGGACCTCCTCAGCAATGAAACAGCACCTGTTATTACCTGATGTTATCTTGAGTAGAATTAAAAGGATGGTGTTGAAACTTCTTAACTGACCTCTCTCCCTTAGGGTTCTCAAAACTTAAATCCTAAAAAAAGACTTATTAATTATTTTAAGACAGACAAAAAAAAAGTGTTCTCCTCTGATGATTGGTCTAGACTTTCTCTACAGAAAAGACCAAGACAAAATTTTTTGTTAGAAACAAATGGTGGGAAAAAAAGAAACAAATGGAAAAGATTGTAAAGCAAAAAGGAGAGAGGAAGCAAAAAAGGTAAGGGCAAGAAGTGAGACAAAAAGAAAGAGAGACAGTGAGAGAAAGACAATGAGAGATATTTCTAGGAATCATTGAAGTTCAGTGTATTGAGGTTCAACCCATATGGTGCCGAGCTTATGAGACACAGAGGAAGACATTTGAAAATAAAAATGGTGTGTGGCCTTAGCTGGTTTGGCTTAGTGGATAGAGCATCCACCTGGGGAATGAAGAGTCCTGGGTTTGATTCCAGTCAAGGGCAATGCCTGCATTGTGGGCTCTATCCCCAATAGGGGGCGTGCAGTAGGCAGCCAATCAATAAATCTCTCTCATCATTGATATTTCTATTTCTCTCTCTCCCCCTCTCCCTTCCTCTCTGAAATCAATAAAAATATATTTTTAAAAAATGGTGTGTGGTCTTCATAGAGAGAAATGAAGTACAGAAATGAGTTATAGGCAGATTAATCTAAAAATCAGTATGAACCAAAAGGGGCAATTTAATAGGAAAGAAAAATGACTTCAAGAAATAGGAAATGCAAAGAGTAAATTAATACATCAAACTTTTTTATAATAAGGAAAATATTATGCACCTATATGAGTCACCAGATCATCAAATTTTAAATGTCCTTTACCAAATTTTTATGAGGTTGTGGAGAATCCTCAATTACTGTTAATAAACATATACATTGCATATAAACTTTGAAAAGCTTTTTAAAGTATCTAGAAAGGCTGACAACATCCATAATTGAGTAATTTTATTTCTGGGTCTGTCACACAAGGTAAGTTTGTCTATTTGTGCACCAGAATATACAATTGAGGAGGTTCATATCAGCATCATTCATAAAAGTAAAAAACTAGAAACAAAAAGAATGTTCATCAACAAAAAATGGATAAATAAATTATGCTTTTCTTCTCACAATAGCATACTATAAAATAGTGGAAATAAATAAATTACAGATACATATCACAAACTCGATAAAACAAACTTTTTGTTGAGCAAAAGAAGTAAGATTCCAAAGAATACCTGAATGGACTTCCCTTTATATAATATTTAAGCTATTCTTACAAGTACCGCGTGCTAACCGATTGCGCCACTGGAGCTCCTAATATTTAAGCTATTCTTAAAGACGCATACACAGTTTGTAAAACCACTCTTCAAAAGGCAGAGTGAAAGCATGCAGCATGAAAATCAAAACATTGGTGAGCTCTAGTGAAGTCTCAGAGGATATATCTAGGGTTTTTGGGTGCTGGTGATGTTTTATTTCTTGATATGGACAGTGATTACAGAGAGGATCACTTTATGTTTATTAACTTTGTATATGTGTATGTTTTGTGCACTCTTCTGCGTTATAGTTCACATATTGGGAAAGACTAGATACAGAAAAGAGGGTATAATTTAACAAAGTTTTGCTTAGCATTGAAAAATAATTGGATGGTAGAATAAGTAAGAGATGGCATATATGGAATATACTGTTGTCTGCTGTTCCTTCCATCCCTTTTTAAAAACAGAACACGTTGAACAATATTTGTGTCCTAGTTGAAAAGGCCCTGAAGTTTAGGGCAAAAGTGATGAGAGAGAAAGGGAATAATTGCTGGAGCTGAGCTCCTTAGCAGAAAGAGGGGATGGGATCAAGAAAAATGGGTGGATCTTTGGATTAAGTTGGGGAACCCATTGTTACTGGCTCAAAGAGTGAAGTTTTGTGGAACAATGGGTTTTAAGATATTTATTCGGTGGTGACAATTAGAACCTTTTTTTCAGTGGAAGAAGTTAGGTTTTTTTAAGATGACCCTGAAGGAGGCATGATCAGCGTGTGTTATCACTGTCTCTAAGCACATGGCCCTGCCCCAGAACAACACTCACCATGGTTCTGTCCTGCCAGGAGGTTCATCAGGTAGGATTTTCCTGTCCGATACAGACCTGCGATGGCCACCACCACCACAGGCTGAGAGATGTTGTCTAGAATCTACAGTGCTGTTGGATTTACTGTCAGCTGATTATTCTGATTTTCCACTAGATGGATGGGGTCCATCATGGTGTATTCAGAAGCCATGGTAAGCTGTAACCCAGAGGAACAACTCAGTACAACATAAGATCCAGAAGTCATATCTAAGGGTTATACAAGTCACATACTTGTCAGCTTTCTGTGTGTGGAATGTATAAGTCAGATTCCTACATTTTGTATATTTCTAAAAGATAAGTATTTAGCCTAGTGTGTCAAGGCCTGGCACAGATTCCTTATGTACATTATCATACTGACCTTTAAATAAATCCTAATACAACCTTTTGATGCATCAAAGAAATAGAATGAACAAAACAAAACACTGATGATAGAACCTTGAGAATATTAACATATTGGGGGTAAGTAGAGGCAGAATGGGACATGCAAGAGATGAGGAGTGAGATACCTGGAGTTCCAGAATTATTTGGTTTCTCATTGGCCTCATACATTCTCTAAGCACCTACCATGTACTGTGTACTAGTCTGTGTGCTTGGTATCAAGCGGCAAACAAAATGGATACCAATTCCTGCCTCGTGGAGCTCTATTCTGGTGGGAAGAGATAGACAATACAGAAAGCAAATAAGCAACATGCATAGTATATGTATTTTAGATGATGGAAAGTGCTCAGGAGAAAACAAGCAGGAATTGAGATAGGGAGCCTGGGGGCTGAATTTATATAGAGGATGGTCAGGAAAGGCCTTTCAGAAAAAGAGAAATAAATGTGCTCTGTGACATGAGGAGGACAAATGTATTCAATCCTGAGAGTTGTAGCAGTTGGAGGAGGAGAGACTTTGAGAGGAAGAAGACAAAGAATGAGACTCGCTCTCAAAGCACCATGATGTAGATCTTTATAGGACCCAGGGACAGTTGTGAATGCAGGAATTCATTTATTTAAACTAGAATAAGTGGACATTTTTGTTTCTGGGCTGGCAGGGAAGAGAGTCTGTAGCCAGGGTGATTTCGGGTATGCCCAGAGCTGCCAGAGTCCCACAGCTGTGAGAGGTCCACGTTAGTGAATTCATCACAGTGGGTGTTTCATGTAATTAAGAGACAGAAAGCAATCAAAGTGATTTGACTGTCTCTTCACTTTCTCAGTGACAGTCGTAAACAACATTCCTGTGTTCCCTGCTTTTCCAGCTGTGTGCATTAAAAAAGTAATTTCTGGCCAAAACCGATTTGGCTCAGTGGATAGAGCGTCGGCCTGTGGACTGAAAGGTCCCAGGTTCGATTCCGGTCAAGGGCATGTGCCTGGGGTGTGGGCACAGCCCTTGAGGAGGGTGTGCAGGAGGCGGCTGGTCGATGTTTCTCCCTCGTCGATGTTTCTAACTCTCTATCCCGCCCCTTCCTTTCTGTAAAATATCAATAAAATATATATATATTTTTTAAAAAAGTAATTTCGGCCCTAGTCCGTGTGGCTCAGTGAATAGAGCATCGGCTTGTGGACTGAAGGGTCCTGGGTTCTATTCCAGTCAAGGGCATGGACCTGGGTTGTGGGCACATCCCTTGAGGAGGGTGTGCAGGAGGCGGCTGGTCGATGTTTCTCCCTCGTCGATGTTTCTAACTCTCTATCCCTCTTCCTTCCTCTCTGTAAAAAATCAATACAATATATATATTTTTTAAAAAGTAATTTCCCTGTCATAGTTTGTTATCCATGAAATGACAACCATAAAAAAAAAAAAACCCCACACAATATATTGGTCATTAAGATCATTAAGAAGATTAAATATATATAAAATTTATAAGGTTCTTAAAATCATTGTGTGGCATACTGAATCCTAATTTAGTATTGATTAGAAATTGAGTGTCTAAGAGGGCAGGGAGGTTAATTTCTAAAAGAAGGTGAAGATTTGGCTTTGGACTGAAGAGTGACATCTCTTGATCCAGTTGTGAGCACGTGGAGGACACATCCCATGAGGAGGATTCCTGCAGGACAGGAGCAGCCATAACAGCTGGGAGGGAGGAGCCCAGAGCTGTCCTGGGATGTTGAAGCACAGATTCTAGAGTGGCTACCAGGCTTCAAATCACTTCCTGTCAATGAGACCTTGGAAAAGGAACTTACCTCTGTGAGCCTGCATTTCCTTAGTGTGATAGATAAAGCAAGAATTCCTGTCTGACTCATTCCTGTAGGGTCTGGTAACACACAGGGTCTCAATAATTAATGATTAATGTAGTGTTAGCATTGTGTTCAAATATGTTTATATGTTCAGTAAGCCGCAAATTGCCAACAGATAATAAGGTGTCTAAAATCTTTTTCTCAGAAAATAACAAATTATTTTAACACACTTTCTCTGTACCATTTCTCTTTTTTTTTTCTAAAGGTGATTGGGAGCAGAGTTGGGGAGTAAAACATTAATCCTCTATAAGCAGGAGGAATTACAGAGTTTATTTCTTGGGCTGAATATTTAAAATTTTGGGTAGGAATAGATAAGTTAACATAATTTTTTAAAAATGTAAGTAAACTGAAGTACCCAATCCAAAAGCTGTTAAGTTCAAATGAATGAGTAAAATGAAATAGTTCTCCTGAGTGGAGTTAGTTGGTTTCCAAAGTTCCTCCTCAGGAGAGTCAGTCAAATGAAGTGATGATGCAAACTACCCAAGCCTTGACTTCTCAGCAAGTGTGACAGGACATTCTGAGATGTTTCTTGTAATGCCTGGTAAACAAACACTCTTAGATCTTATAGTTAGTTCTAACAGTTGGTGATGAATTGAATTATTCTATATCATACAGCTTTGTTCTCTCTTTGGAATATTAAGTATTGTTAAGTACAAAAATAATGGAAGTCAATCTTTCAGGATTTAAATTGTCTGTAAGTTAAGGACCACCTTTTCTCTCAGTTTCTCCAGTGCCTGGAGGTGAGGTGGAGATGGTGGTTGTGGTTCAGGGACAGTCTGAGGAGGGACAGGGAGATGGAGGGGGAGAGACTCCACCAAGAGCCTCTGCAAGTGGATGGAGTTTACTCCATCCATCCCAGGAAGTGTTTAGCCCCTTTTGGCATTTGAGTAATGATGGGTTCCTCCTCTCCCCATGGAAGGCTGTTTGTGTAGCCCTGGGAGGTTGCCAGAGGGGCAGCTTACACTGGAGAAAAAGTGGATGAGCGCTGGTCACTTCACAGAGAGGCCTCTGATCCAAACAAACACTAAACTGCTGGTAGCCAGGCCCAGTACTAGCCTCCTGCTGCCCTTCTGCACTCCAGTGCCAAGCCTGCGCTTCCAGTGTGAGGCTTGTGCTTGGGCACGTGTTGTTGTTGTTAATGAACATGGGCCTGGAAGAGCTAGTTTAGTGGGAACCTACATTTCTTAGGAGAGATGAGGAGTGAGATACCTGGAGTTCCAGAATTATTTGGTTTCTCATTGGCCTCATACATTCTCTAAGCACCTACCATGTACTGTGTACTAGTCTGTGTGCTTGGTATCAAGCGGCAAACAAAATGGATACCAATTCCTGCCTCGTGGAGCTCTATTCTGGTGGGAAGAGATAGACAATACAGAAAGCAAATAAGCAACATGCATTTCTTAGGTGCTGCAGACAGGGCACAAGCTCTCATCTGTCCTAACTCTTCCCTCCCTCATTCCTCCTGCATCTGGCTCCTCCCCATACTGACTGCTCTCTTTGGAGGCTAAAAGTAATGAAGATATTACATCCAAGTATTTAAGGGTCGGGTTGATTAGAACCCAAATCAAAATGGAAAGGACACAGCCTTTTTGCTGTTAGAGAAGTATGTGAGGAATAAAATTCATGCCAAGCCAAGGAGTTCAGAGGCAGTTTCCAGAAAGCAGGGACAAAACTGCTTGAGAGCATAGAGAGGTCAGATAAACAAAACGTTGGCTTTAGAGATGCACCACAGTGGCTTCTTTAAAGAGAAACGTTTTAGTAACATAGTGGGGCCAAATTCTACTTGTAAGGCTTAAGAAAGAAGTTGGCACTAATAAATTGGATCTAGTGGACCTGGGCTATGTTTTATTTTATTTTTAAGAGTTCATTTTAAATTACAGTGGCATTCAATATTGCATGAGTTTCATACTACATAGCAGTTAGAGATTTCTATAACTTAAGAAGTGAAACCCCCAATAGATCTAGTACCCATCTTGCAGCCTGTATAATTATCACAATATTATTGAGCACATTCCCTAGGCTGTATTTTATATCCCTGTGAATGTTTTATAATTGCCAATTTGTATCCTTAATCCCTTCCCCATTTTCATCCAGCCCCTATCCTCCCTCCCACCTGGCAACCAGAACCTGGGTTACTTCTAAATCAAGAAAGCCACTGTGAAACAAAGCTCATATGTTTGACTAAAATGTACAGTGTTTTCAAAATAAAGTTCTTACCTGTTTTTTCTCCTCAGTGTAGGTTGGAGTGGTTTCTGTCACTTTTCTGTCTTTCACTGGATGGTTGGGCTTTTATTCACCTTTCTGATGTCATGTGACTTTCCGGAATTCCTGAAGACCCATTAATTAGATGTGAAGGACTTAGAGTAATGTGAAACTGAAAGCACTGAGTACAAAGCAGTGATTCAACAACCATCAAGGGAATTTCTGAAAGCTGTAAAAAATGGAAGGGTACCTGGATTTCACAGAACTTCTTTTTTTTTTTAATATATTTTATTGATTTTTTACAGAGAGGAAGGGAGAGAGATAGAGAGTTAGAAACATTGATCAGCTGCCTCCTGCACACTCCCCACTGGGGAAGTGCCCGCAACCCAGGTACATGCCCTTGACCGGAATCGAACCTGGGACCTTTCAGTCCGCAGGCCCACACTCTATCCACTGAGCTAAACCGGTTTGGGCTCACAGAACTTCTTAACTAGTTCAGTTTGACAAAAACTCTGCTCCTAGTGGGTGTGGTCAACAAGATGTGGCTCCCTCCTCCCTCTTTCAAGCAGGGAAAGGTGTGTCACAGTGAGAGGCAGGCACCAGTATTTCTCATGGCCTCCAAGACTGTGTTGCAGAGACTAAATTCCTGGAGGCTGGGGCTCCTACCCTGCACCCAGCCCCACTCATAGAGCAAAGGCCCTAGCTGATGCATAGGTGGGAGGAAGGATGGGGGTTG